TGTATATTTTTTATTTCTATATTACTATTCATTTTCACTGATAGAATATAGGATTTGAATATAATCGGGCTGCAATTTGAAAAAATTGTAGACCTATCAATTTCCAGTCATTCATCTGTCTGACTTTCCTTAATCTCAAGAATGGAGTTAGTTAGATGAAAGTCAAGACTAGATATGGAAAGCTTAGGAGCAGAAGACCCTGATTAACTATATATAAATTTCCAGTCAAGTCTATACATAAGACACAGTGGTGTCAGAATCCTGATGTGGCATCTTGAAGTGGTGCTGACAATTCAATCGAGTGGTGCGGAAGCATACGGAGCACATTTTGCGCATTGTCACAGAAAGCTTGGGTGTAGGAGGTCCTAATTAACTATATATAAACTTCCAGTGCAAACCAGAAGTAATGTTATTTCAATTCAGAAACTTCCTCTGAAAAAAGTTAAATAGATGACTGACACAACTCTACTGCTAACAGAAAAGTATGATGTATAGGGACAAGACACTACTAACTTGAATTGGAGAGCATATATTTTAAGTTAAAAAATTATTAAAAATATGAATAAAAATTGCAGCCCAGCATTGTGATGATGTCACAATAAATAATTGCTTATTTAAATTCGTAATTTTTTCGTTCAATGATTCTTTTTATTTTTTTAATATTTGAAGACAAGTTCGCCCATATAGGAATCACCATTTTTTGCTTCTGCATTCTAGACAATACATTTCCGGCGACCGATCTTCCTTTCTAGGCTACTAGCTGCCAAAAAGTTTAAAAAGTCCTTTTAAAAAACACAAAAAAAAATATCCGATTAAAAACACAAAGATTTTCTAAAATCAGAACTGGTGTTATATACTTCCTTTCTAGGCTACTAGCTGCCAAAAAGTTTTAAAAAAGTCCTTTTAAAAAACACAAAAAGATTTTTGATCAAAAACACAAAGATTTGTGTTTTTAATTGGAAATCTTTTTGTGTTTTTTAAAAGGACTTTTTTAAAACTTTTTGGCAGCTAGTAGCCTAGAAAGGAAGGTCGGTCGCCGGAAATGTATTGTCTAGAACCAGGGCTGTGGTGTCGGAGTCAGAGTCGTGGAGTTTTGGTGTTTTAGCTGGAGTCGGAGTTGGAGTCAGTAGATTTTTATGCGACTCCACAGCCCTGTCTAGAACGCAAAAGCAAAAAATGGTGATCCCTATATGGGCGAACTTGTCTTCAAATATTAAAAAATTGCTTATTTAAATTTAAAACTGGTGANAAATCCGTTGCAAGCTGATCTTTAAACTTTTGAACTTCTTTAAAAGGCATTTGATTTTGCATTCCAAAAGCGCACGCATTCCAATTTATTCAAACATCGTATGCTACTGTGAGATTTGAAATGTAAACTGCTTTTTAATTTAAAACATTATAAATGTAAATAAAATTAAATATTATTGTCCATTAGGACTTGCCATGCCATAGAAAGTGACATTTCCTCCTTAAAATTAATGCGTGTGGATTTGCATCCCACATTAAATATTTCCATTGCCTCCAATAGTTTGAGGTGATCGTGATGCGGGGTGGTGAGGATGATACGCGTTTCGTTAAAGTTGGCCGTGATGTCGATGTCTGTCGCATAAGTCGAGGGCTGCTGTGCGTTTATTGTGCAGTATGTCTGACTTATGCTTTTTTAATCGTACACTAAAGACCTTTTGGTTGAACCAACATATATCATCTCCCTATTGGATCTGTCATCCTTCATTGGGACCATGTAGATCCCTGGTAATCTGTCCGGATTCGGATGGTCCATTTTGCAAAAACTACATTTCAGTTCCCATTGAACTCTTGCTTGCCCACCCATGGTCTATAATATATCATGGACAGTTTGTTGTGGCATCATTCCTTATTCCTCAGTTGTATTGGTTAACTTAATCATGATCAAGCCTGCCATAATGGATGTAATTGTGGTCAACTATCTATCATCTAGCCTACAACATGCTACTGTCTCGAATTAATTAAATAATCAACCAAACATTTGACATTAATTTTATTATTAAAACCATTTTATGCTTTTAATAATAAAATTATAAAATACAAATTGTTGTTATACATAAGTTGAATTTATTTTTTAATGCCTAATGAAAATGCTTTATTAATTACTAGCTGTACTAGCCACGCATTGCTGTGGCTCAAAATGTATCTATTATAAATGTAATAACACTCCCCGAGGGAGGGAATGTCGAAAAATCCCTTCTTAGAGCCGCCGCAAACTAGCGCTTTGCGAGAGCAAAACGCTAGCAAACATGCGCTAGCACAACCAATGACGTCGAAGGCTCCACACCTTTCTTCTTGCCTGCACTGTTTTTCCTTCGCTAGCGCAGCAATACGAGAGTACGCTCGCTGTTCACAGAATTCAACAACTAGAGCATTTATGCTAGCAAGAGAGAGCGGGGAAGACGGATGACTACATAAACATGTCACATATCGAAAAAGAAATAATAGAATTTTATCGATGTACGTAAATTACATGATTAATACATTCAGTATTGAAAAGAAAATACTATAACCATTGTATGTAAATAGTAATATACAGTATAAATAGTTTTCGGCTAGTTAAGCTTAACTAGCCGAAATGTTTACTAGTTAAGCCTAGTTAGGCTTAACTAGTAAACATGTTTTTTCCATGCTGTTTCAAAGTTCGGAACGAAAACTGACTGATTACAAGTATAGGTTATAATAAAATCTTGTTCTATAGCCAATCTACATCTGTGGAATCCACGTCATGTGGACTACGTTACGCGAGCAAACGTTGTGTAGTTTGCGGCTGCTTCGCTTAGGCCGCGTAGCTTACCTAGCAAAAATGGCTCATAGCATCATGGGGAAAAAAGGCAGGGTATAGGAGCGCGAGCGAGCGTACGCTAGCTCCCGCATCCTGTAGTTTGCAGTGGCTCTTAGTGTACATTCTCTCAATGTACCCTATTAAAACGCAATCAAAAACACAAAAAACTGCATATAAAATAGCATCTAAAATAGAATAATAGAAGACCAGTTCTTCACAGTAACCCTTAATTTTGTCACTCTCCCCTGCAGGAGGATTTCGACATCTATATAATATAAAAACGCCCGTGTTCAAATGCAACATTGTGTCAAAATTTCAAAGCAATTGGTTAAGAACTTTTGGAGATTTAAGATTTTGAACAAACAAACATTTACATTTTTATTTATATAGATAAAGAATTTTTATTATTCAAATATTATGACTTGATCTCCAATGCAAATATAGTTATATCAGTGGCATACTGTAACTCGGTTATGAAGTGAGTAAAGAGAGAAAAATAAATGCTAAGTATTTATTTAAATCATGAGTAGGAAAAAATTTATGATAGAACAAGCATTCCCTTTCTATGTATTCCCAGGTTAGGCCACTGGGTTTTTGATGAATACATTTCTGTTTTAAAATTGCATTCTTTATGTATTTATTAATAAATGAAAATTTAACTATAAATATCTCAATAGCCTCAATATACTTTTAAAAAATCAAAAATTTATTAACTTATTTAACTTCCTAACACACCGGATTGAAATTTAAATCTTTTTAATTCAAACCAAATAACCAGAGCAAAAAATGTTTCTTTAGTGTTAACATTTTCAACATCTCTTCTGGGCTTTTCTTCAGGCATTTACTGAAATCCGTTGCAAGCTGATCTTTAAACTTTTGAACTTCTTTAAAAGGCATTTGATTTTGCATTCCAAAAGCGCACGCATTCCAATTTATTCAAACATCGTATGCTACTGTGAGATTTGAAATGTAAACTGCTTTTTAATTTAAAACATTATAAATGTAAATAAAATTAAATATTATTGTCCATTAGGACTTGCCATGCCATAGAAAGTGACATTTCCTCCTTAAAATTAATGCGTGTGGATTTGCATCCCACATTAAATATTTCCATTGCCTCCAATAGTTTGAGGTGATCGTGATGCGGGGTGGTGAGGATGATACGCGTTTCGTTAAAGTTGGCCGTGATGTCGATGTCTGTCGCATAAGTCGAGGGCTGCTGTGCGTTTATTGTGCAGTATGTCTGACTTATGCTTTTTTAATCGTACACTAAAGACCTTTTGGTTGAACCAACATATATCATCTCCCTATTGGATCTGTCATCCTTCATTGGGACCATGTAGATCCCTGGTAATCTGTCCGGATTCGGATGGTCCTTTCCATTCCTTAGTTTACTGTATAATGGCGGGCATTAATTTTAAGGAGGAAATGTTGCTTTCTAAGGCATGGCAAGTTCTAATGGACAATAACATTTAATTTTATTTACATTTATAATGTTCTAAATTAAAAAGCAGTTTGCATTTCAATTCTCACAGTAGCATATGATGTTTGAATAAATTGGAATGCGTGCGCTTTTGGAATGCAAAATCAAATGCCTTTTAAAGAAGTTCAAAAGTTTAAAGATCAGCTTGCAACGGATTTCAGTAAATGCCTGAAGAAGAGCCCAGAAGAGATGTTGAAAATGTTAACACTAAAGAAACATTTTTTGCTCTGGTTATTTGGTTTGAATTAAGAAGACTCATTAACTTAATCATTTGATACTCTGAAAGCTTTATATAATTTCTAAAACATCATATGAGGAAACTTGGGTCATAAGAAATAGTTTATAATATTGCTTCTAATTTGAAACAATACGTAAGGAAGTATTTATAGGAAGTTAAAAAATTATGTATTAATATATATTTTAATTATAATTTTTTAGTAATGTAGCTATGTTATAGTTTCTTGTAAACTCAGCTGAAGAATCTATCAATAAAATATTAATTTTTAAAGCTAGCTAGTTGACTGTCAATAAATTTATTAAATACTAGAAATCTGTTACAATTAAAGATTACTTTATATATAATTAAGACTACACACTTCACATTAAAAAAAATTATAAAATGTTTACTCATTATGTTGCATTGTTTGGTTAATTCTTGAATCTATTGCTCTGTTTTAAATTATAAAATTAAATTTTAATTTATTGTAGGTTTCGTCCTGTTAGGACTTACAGAGATGCAGAAGGAAGTAGTAATTTTACATGCTGTTCATTTTCTGTAAGTGTATTGCTTGTATTCTTTGTTTAAAATCATATTATATTAATAAAATACAGTGGTACCTTGATATACGTCTGCTTTAGAATACGTCCTGTTTGGATGAAACAAATTTTGCTCGGTATACGACTTAATTCAATTATACGCGCCATCTATGAACAAGTAGCACTATCGGTGTACTAGACCAGACTAAACGTTCGTGCTGCCACGGTTTATAACTTTGTTAAATTTCTTCTGATTTTAATTTGTAAGTAAAATTTTATTATTTTTATTAATCATGAATTGCGAAAAGGCAAATGAAAAGCAACAGAAAAGTAAAAAATGACTAAAATCACAATGGAACTGAAAAAAGAGATTGTTGAGAAATATGAAGGTGGCATGCGTGTTTTAACTGTTGCATGCCGTATTCCAAGAACGACGATATCAACAATCGCAAAAAATAAAGACATTATTAAATCTGCTAACATTGTGAAAGGGGTTAAATCAAGTTCTAAACAGAGATTGAAGACATTAGATCATGTTGAGAAATTGCTTTTGCTTGGATAACTGAAAAACAGTGTGCTGACGACATCCTATCAGAAGCAATTATTTGCGAGAAAGCTAAAAAGATACATGCTGATCTCATGAAAAATCAAACAGGAACTAGCCAGGAAAGCGAGGTGTCAAAGCCAGCCATTTTTTTTTCACATGAGAATGGATTAATCATTTTTACATTACTTCTTATGGGAAAGGTTGGTTTGGTATACGTCCAATTCAGTATAAGTCCAAACATCNGCGAGCGTACGCTAGCTCCCGCATCCTGTAGTTTGCAGTGGCTCTTAGTGTACATTCTCTCAATGTACCCTATTAAAACGCAATCAAAAACACAAAAAACTGCATATAAAATAGCATCTAAAATAGAATAATAGAAGACCAGTTCTTCACAGTAACCCTTAATTTTGTCACTCTCCCCTGCAGGAGGATTTCGACATCTATATAATATAAAAACGCCCGTGTTCAAATGCAACATTGTGTCAAAATTTCAAAGCAATTGGTTAAGAACTTTTGGAGATTTAAGATTTTGAACAAACAAACATTTACATTTTTATTTATATAGATAAAGAATTTTTATTATTCAAATATTATGACTTGATCTCCAATGCAAATATAGTTATATCAGTGGCATACTGTAACTCGGTTATGAAGTGAGTAAAGAGAGAAAAATAAATGCTAAGTATTTATTTAAATCATGAGTAGGAAAAAATTTATGATAGAACAAGCATTCCCTTTCTATGTATTCCCAGGTTAGGCCACTGGGTTTTTGATGAATACATTTCTGTTTTAAAATTGCATTCTTTATGTATTTATTAATAAATGAAAATTTAACTATAAATATCTCAATAGCCTCAATATACTTTTAAAAAATCAAAAATTTATTAACTTATTTAACTTCCTAACACACCGGATTGAAATTTAAATCTTTTTAATTCAAACCAAATAACCAGAGCAAAAAATGTTTCTTTAGTGTTAACATTTTCAACATCTCTTCTGGGCTTTTCTTCAGGCATTTACTGAAATCCGTTGCAAGCTGATCTTTAAACTTTTGAACTTCTTTAAAAGGCATTTGATTTTGCATTCCAAAAGCGCACGCATTCCAATTTATTCAAACATCGTATGCTACTGTGAGATTTGAAATGTAAACTGCTTTTTAATTTAAAACATTATAAATGTAAATAAAATTAAATATTATTGTCCATTAGGACTTGCCATGCCATAGAAAGTGACATTTCCTCCTTAAAATTAATGCGTGTGGATTTGCATCCCACATTAAATATTTCCATTGCCTCCAATAGTTTGAGGTGATCGTGATGCGGGGTGGTGAGGATGATACGCGTTTCGTTAAAGTTGGCCGTGATGTCGATGTCTGTCGCATAAGTCGAGGGCTGCTGTGCGTTTATTGTGCAGTATGTCTGACTTATGCTTTTTTAATCGTACACTAAAGACCTTTTGGTTGAACCAACATATATCATCTCCCTATTGGATCTGTCATCCTTCATTGGGACCATGTAGATCCCTGGTAATCTGTCCGGATTCGGATGGTCCTTTCCATTCCTTAGTTTACTGTATAATGGCGGGCATTAATTTTAAGGAGGAAATGTTGCTTTCTAAGGCATGGCAAGTTCTAATGGACAATAACATTTAATTTTATTTACATTTATAATGTTCTAAATTAAAAAGCAGTTTGCATTTCAATTCTCACAGTAGCATATGATGTTTGAATAAATTGGAATGCGTGCGCTTTTGGAATGCAAAATCAAATGCCTTTTAAAGAAGTTCAAAAGTTTAAAGATCAGCTTGCAACGGATTTCAGTAAATGCCTGAAGAAGAGCCCAGAAGAGATGTTGAAAATGTTAACACTAAAGAAACATTTTTTGCTCTGGTTATTTGGTTTGAATTAAGAAGACTCATTAACTTAATCATTTGATACTCTGAAAGCTTTATATAATTTCTAAAACATCATATGAGGAAACTTGGGTCATAAGAAATAGTTTATAATATTGCTTCTAATTTGAAACAATACGTAAGGAAGTATTTATAGGAAGTTAAAAAATTATGTATTAATATATATTTTAATTATAATTTTTTAGTAATGTAGCTATGTTATAGTTTCTTGTAAACTCAGCTGAAGAATCTATCAATAAAATATTAATTTTTAAAGCTAGCTAGTTGACTGTCAATAAATTTATTAAATACTAGAAATCTGTTACAATTAAAGATTACTTTATATATAATTAAGACTACACACTTCACATTAAAAAAAATTATAAAATGTTTACTCATTATGTTGCATTGTTTGGTTAATTCTTGAATCTATTGCTCTGTTTTAAATTATAAAATTAAATTTTAATTTATTGTAGGTTTCGTCCTGTTAGGACTTACAGAGATGCAGAAGGAAGTAGTAATTTTACATGCTGTTCATTTTCTGTAAGTGTATTGCTTGTATTCTTTGTTTAAAATCATATTATATTAATAAAATACAGTGGTACCTTGATATACGTCTGCTTTAGAATACGTCCTGTTTGGATGAAACAAATTTTGCTCGGTATACGACTTAATTCAATTATACGCGCCATCTATGAACAAGTAGCACTATCGGTGTACTAGACCAGACTAAACGTTCGTGCTGCCACGGTTTATAACTTTGTTAAATTTCTTCTGATTTTAATTTGTAAGTAAAATTTTATTATTTTTATTAATCATGAATTGCGAAAAGGCAAATGAAAAGCAACAGAAAAGTAAAAAATGACTAAAATCACAATGGAACTGAAAAAAGAGATTGTTGAGAAATATGAAGGTGGCATGCGTGTTTTAACTGTTGCATGCCGTATTCCAAGAACGACGATATCAACAATCGCAAAAAATAAAGACATTATTAAATCTGCTAACATTGTGAAAGGGGTTAAATCAAGTTCTAAACAGAGATTGAAGACATTAGATCATGTTGAGAAATTGCTTTTGCTTGGATAACTGAAAAACAGTGTGCTGACGACATCCTATCAGAAGCAATTATTTGCGAGAAAGCTAAAAAGATACATGCTGATCTCATGAAAAATCAAACAGGAACTAGCCAGGAAAGCGAGGTGTCAAAGCCAGCCATTTTTTTTTCACATGAGAATGGATTAATCATTTTTACATTACTTCTTATGGGAAAGGTTGGTTTGGTATACGTCCAATTCAGTATAAGTCCAAACATCAGGAACGGATTAACGTCGTATACCAAGGTTCCACTGTATGTATATTAAAAACTTATGATAAAAAAATATCATAAAATAAGTTAAATATTAATAAATTACTATTTAATACAATGGAATCTGGCTAACTCAAAACCCCATTTGAGTTAACCAGATTCCATTGTATTAAATAGTAATTTAATACAATGGGGTTTTGATACAGTATTTTTATTACCTCTCCATAATTTTATAAATAAATTTATCCATTTATAAAATTAATATTAAGTAAATAGTATGTATATATGTGTATATACCTACTATTATGTATGTTATACATGCTTGAAAATTTAATCATTTAAATAATTTATTTCAGTAGAGCATCATTTATCCGAAAGTCAGTTATTCGAAAGAATTCCAGTCGGAAAATTTAAATTTTTGCTAGTGCTTTGGCGCAGCAATCTTTGGCTATATCTTGGGCTAATCCAATATTTTTTTTTGTTGTTGTTGATGTATGTGTTTTAGCTGGCAGCACTGAGCTTTTGTGTGGTGTTTTTCTGAGGACTGTGTGTCATGCTGAATCGAACGTTTTTGATACTAGATTAGCTTCTAAAGTATATTTTTTTGTTTTTATATTTTTCAATATATTTATTTTGTTTGTAAAAAATAAAGAAATAATTTTTAACGTTACAATAGCCACGATTATTATTTTAAAAAGTTTACGTTAGGCTTAACATCGACGAAAATTCAACACAAAGCAACACGCAATGGAGAAAAATTTCAACATGGGATAGGTTAATATATTTTCCGTATATAATCGGTTATCCGAACAACCCCAGTTCGCAATTGATTCGGATAAACGATGCTCTACTGTACTATCAATTTCTAGTTTTGTAGAGAACATATTGCAGTACATAATAAGAACACACCAAGCAAATATTTATATTTTAAATTCTTTACTATTAAAAATTTATATTTATCTAAGAATATCTGTATTTATAAGTTAAAATTCAATTCTCACAGTAGCATATGATGTTTGAATAAATTGGAATGTGTGCGCTTTTGGAATGCAAAATCAAATGCCTTTTAAAGAAGTTCAAAAGTTTAAAGATCAGCTTGCAACGGATTTCAGTAAATGCCTGAAGAAAAGCCCAGAAGAGATGTTGAAAATGTTAACACTAAAGAAACATTTTTTGCTCTGGTTATTTGGTTTGAATTAAAAAGATTTAAATTTCAATCCGGTGTGTTAGGAAGTTAAATAAGTTAATAAATTTTTGATTTTTTAAAAGTATATTGAGGCTATTGAGATATTTATAGTTAAATTTTCATTTATTAATAAATACATAAAGNTGATTTAAATGTGTATTAATATAATTAAAGATACAGTTAAATGAAATGCAGCATTTAATAAATACTATATCCAGATTCATTCATTATAGAAGGAATGTTTTATGTACAACAAAATTTATGCATGTGAATCTTAATTTTATTTTATTTTGTTGTTTGGCATTATATTTATATTAACAACTTGAGAATTATCAATATTTGTAAATCAAATATACAGTAATCCAAACTAGAATCTATAATTTTTTTTGTTATAATAAATAAGTTAATCACAAAGCTTTTATTAGAGTAATATTATTATAATATAACATAAATAAATAAATATCAGAAATTTTATTTGTTATTTTAGAAAACAGATCAATTTTTATTTTTGGGAACATTTGTTGGCGAATTAAAAGTTTATAATATTCATACAGGAAGTGTAAGTATAAGGTTTTCAATTGTTTTGATTTACTATTTAAATATTTTAAAAAATAAATTCAGTTGGAAATGATTTTGTAATATATAATTTTAAAACTGTTTTACAGTGTATCTAATATAATAAAGCTATATTGATGTTGTTTGCTGGCACAAAATGCTTGTCTACTAAAAAACAAAGTGATACAGTCAGTGAATATGTCATTTACTTTACCAGAAAAATCTAATACCTTGAAAAAGTCAAATCTCTATGTAGTACAACTGACACACTGTAGCTGAAAGTGCAAGGGACAGAGAAAAATTTTTGAGTTGTGGAATTATCATTGTTTTAATAAGATTGTAAAAATCACAGTATGGACAGTACAGGTATAAGTCTTGAATAATGGAATCTTATAGTCCAGGGATTGCTAACTTGCCAGATGTGGGCTTTCTATTCTGGAGCACAATGATCATTAGAGGGAGTGAATTTTCCTAATGAAAAAATAAAACCAATCCATCAAGAAGAAGAAAAAACTGTGACAAGTTTTATCAAACAGGTAGTACCCACAGAACCAGAACTCACAGTATCTGAACAAACAACAAAAAAGTGGCAAGGCTCAATTAAAACAGTAACTGACACTTAGAATAAATGAAGATAAAAATTCATAATAAGGAGTAAAAATTAAGTCATTTTCTGATTTGAGAAATATTAGAAGCAGATAAAACTAATTCAGAAAAAAATATTAATGATTTAACATGCATTATTATACTACTGATTTGTGTTCAACATCACTCTTGAAAATACTTGGTAAATAATTTTTTTTGTAATGCCGATAGACAGTTGTGTCATTAATTTTGTAGCATTACTTTGTAGCGTAACAAGAAAACTCTTACTCGTTGACATCATAGTCAGTTGTCAACTTATACTATGAGGGGATGATATCACAGTAGGCTTGGACATAGTCACCTATATCTCCAAGATGTGGCATGAAAGAAAGATGTCAACATTAGTGGTAATTCAGATGTAATCAAGTTTATAATGGGAACCAAATATATTTATGTGAATACATAAATAATATAAAGTAATAAATATATTTATTACTCTACATTTATGTATTAATTAGTTTTTCAAACCAGATAAGTCTTAAGAAAATATAATTAATCACAAGTAAATTCTATAAAAATTGATTCATAAACATCAGAACAACTAAATAAGGGTTTATTGTAAATATCAAAGCTTATTTAAATACAGTTCAAAATTTTAAAAAAAGTTTGTTTTCCATAATTAAGCAGCATAATTCTGATTAAATATAATAACTTAAGTCTACATGAGTTATGCTGGCATAATGAAATTAATGACATTTGACTTACCAAAAGTCTACCCTGCCATTTTGAAGGACTTGGGTTTGGTTTGGATACTGAAATTTTCATAGACAGCATGTTTTCCCTCTTTTTGTCTGCAGATCAAAAAGATAATATATATCTTCTTTTATGATTCAGTAATTCAATAAAATATAAATGTTTAGTGGCAAAAATATTTCTTCTTACAAAATTTATTTTAAATATGAAGATTAATTATATTATATTATATTAAGATTAAAATTATATAAATTTTATAAAATGGTTTTTTTTATATAGGAAGAAGTAACTTATGCATGTCATGAATCAGAGCTGACACATTGTGAACCATCAAGGGTAAGATTAAAGAAAATATTGTGTCTTATTTATTCTGGAAGTTCCATCTTAATTACTTTGTAAAAAAAATTTAATTAATGTATTTAAATATATCAGGGATGATCAATAAATAATCAGCATAAAACATAATGAATACATTTTCTTTTATATGTAATTGCCCTCATTGTTGAGACATTTATCACACTGTTGCAAGTCTCGTGATTCTGTGTTCTAAAACAAAGTGTGGACAGCACTCCATACAACTCAGTCAGATTGAAATCATCTACCATTTCACACTTTGTTGGCTCATCAAAGGCACAGAAGTTTCCTGGTCTTTACTTGGGCTAGGCTTAGTTTGGGTTGTCTATTCATACTTATAATGTGTTGACAAATTTCTATGGGTACTAGTCTATTTTACAGTTAGGATCCATAGTATGGTACATTAGATGCTTGCATTCTACCAGTTCTGACTTTGGCATTTTGTTTTGGGATTGTATTCAAAGATCTACAATTTGTAATATGTTATCAGATTTTTGAGAAAATTATCATTGCTCCATATCCATTTTAAAGATTTTTGCACAGTTCTTGTGATGCTTCTTTTGCTGCATTGTGAGGTCTTTTTGATCCAACTTAGCATGCTCAACTCCTGTGTCAAAATCTCATGAATGGTGAAGCAATTCAGATTCATTTCACTGCTGATCATTTGTATTCTCAACCATCAATCTGATCTCATGAGTGTCTTAACTTTTTCCACATTATTTATTTTTAATAAACACAATCTTCCTGAGTGGGCTTGATCTTTTACACTTTTATGATCCTCTGTAAATACCTTGTGTCATTTGAACACTTGTGCCTTGGATAATGAGTGATGTCCATAGATCCACTTCACTTTTTTGTATATTTGTGTTCCATTTTCAACAAGTCTTACACAGGATTTAATCACATGACATTCTAAATGCCATTGTTCCATTTCCATAACTGAGCACTTATACAGTACACACACTACAGTAAATCACTCTAGAACAAAACATTCTACCACTGACAAGTTGCAACTTGAACTGTAGGTCAATTAGACTGCTTTTTTTCAAATATAGTACATTGGTTGTATGCCTATAATATTGTCACTTTGTACACTATGTACAGTGTTTATTACTTTCCTGCTATAATTCATAAACCACCAGACACTGGTTATTATTCCTTGATGTGTGCCTGATTGATGGGCTGACAGCGTGTAGTTTTTAGGATTTTCTTCATTTGTTTACACTTAAATAGGCACCAGTTTTCTATAGAAAGTCCTCATGAGATACTTCTTCTCTTGGCAGATCATCTTAATGTTGCATTGTCTTATTCCAAAGCAACAACAATAACTAAAATTTTCTTATCAGTCGATAAAATGATAAAGTTATTTATTTTAATTTTAAACATCCCTAACTCGACACTGGAGTGTATTAACAAAATCTTCAAATCTGTTACCGGTGTGTTCTCCCACGATAACAAAAACGCAAAAAAATAAATAAATAGTTCGTTACTAATGTTTTTGAACGTTGTTCTTCAGGTAACATTGAATTTCTGATGGAATGCTGATCGAAAAAAACAATTTGAAATTCGAACATGCGCTTCCCAATTATCATTGCTTCATTGAGAATGCACTTTTCGCAAGGGACTCGAACATCTTAGTGCAGGCGAATGCTAGGCTAGTGGCTGTGCAAGAAAGACTAACTATCAACCTAAGGAGATGCTATCACAATAAAATCCGGTGTATCCTAAAGTTCCAAGTGCCTAAGAATCATACACACCCCATGTTTCCGTTTGTTGTTTGGGATTATCTACAGTTACCTGCTTTCATTGTAGAAGTCTTGAGCTTGGGACCTAAATTTACACCCCCTCCTATGAAAGAGGATTTAAACCTCATCTCTGACTTTGAGGCACTACTGGTAGGCCTATTGGACATAAGTAAGAATACTACTGATGAAAGGCCACGCATACAATTACAACAACTAAGGCCCCGTACAATGTAAAACAGCTGAGAACAAAATTAAGGCGCACACACCGTTGGATGCAGCAGAATGGAGTCATGCTAGTTAGGACCGACAAGACTAAGCTCTGGTCCTTATGAGGTGCACTACTTATGATCGACTGTTATTGGAGCACATTGATCGTACCCAATCTGACATCGTACAAAGCAATACTGTTGACAAATTACAGGCTAGAGTTAAGTGCTTTGCAAATACCAAACTAGCTAAATGCCTGGAGATGGGAAATATCATTGTTGATTCGCCCAATACACTGAAGCTGTTTGCATTCACTAAAATCCACAAGATAGGGCAATAACTTTGCCCAGTTATTGATAAGGCTAGAGCACCGACACACAAACTGGAGAAGCTCACACACAAGCTACTCACTCCCTACTTAGAAGGCTATCTGTATACTCTGAATGACTCTGTGAACCTCTTAACCCTCCTCAAGCAGATCATTATACCTCCTCAATTTCTCATGGTATTGGACTTTAAGTCCCTATTCCTGTCGATTCAACTCCAACCCGTCTTTTGCACCATCAGAGATCTCCTATTCAACATCATAAATGATAACACCTTACACCAGCAAATCCTGGAGATGGAATATCTATTGTGTTATAATTCGTTTTTCCAATTCAAGGGTATGGTATACACACAAGGAAGAGGAGTCCTGATGGATAGTCCCATCTCAGGGGACTTATGTGAGATGGTGATTAGATAACTGGAATCCAAAGTCCTCCCGCACCACCTTCCTAACATTGTTTTATATAAGAGGTATGTCGATTACATTATCATCTTATGGAAGGAAATTCCAGACATCTCAGCCTTTGTTGACTCTGTGAATGATAACTCGTACAGCTTGACCCTTGAAATAGATCAAGTGCACCCCACGGAGGTCCATTTCCTCAATTTTAACATCAAGATTGAAGGGACAGCAATCCATGCAGGGGTGTTCCGTAAACCAGGATGAAAGGGCATGTACATACCGTCAGCTCATGTGACCCACCACAGTATAAAGTCGCAGCCTTTAAAGCCGTAATTAAAGAATGCACACTCACTTGTCCACGCAACAAGCTCTCCAGACTGAGCTAATGCATACGCAACACGGATACTGCTAATGCATATGCCTATGAACATGGATACTGCAAGCTCACATGCAGGTTGATCGACAAATTTCACTGATATCAAAATCCTGCCCAAGTCCTTTCCCAAGGCAAAGCCCAACCCAAGAAAGATAAAATCATTCCGGTCACTTATAACCCTTATCTCAGATCGCTGTATGCTGAGATCTAAAAAGAGCCACATTTGCATTGCTTATAGAAGGGTGCATCTGTATTTAACATCCTACATAACGGAAAAGATGAGCCTGACCGGGAAAGACTTTCCAGTGTATACAACATCCCGATTAAAGATCACAGATGCGATAGAAACCTAGTCTATGTAGGCTCTACGAAATGCTCCTTAGGGGTTAGATTGAAAGAACATGCAGCTGATATAAAGAATGAAAAGACCACCACTGCTCTGGCCATTTATGCATTGGATCCAGACATAGAGCTGGATTTTAATCAGGCCAGAATTATCTGCACTACACAGCACACACAACACCTCAGGTGGTTAGAGGCTGCCACTGTATACATAGCTAGCCTTAGCAGTAATAACTGCATCAATCACAAAGAAGAGATAATTCTATCAGTAGCATGGCAGGCACTTATGAACAAAAATCTATGATTACCATCAATCACTTGAGAGCACATGCCTAAGAAAACATAATCGGGAAGCACGTGTTTGAATTTCAAATTTGTTTTCTTTGATCGGCATTCCATCAGAAATTCGATATTATCTGAAGAACCTTTTCGGTTCAAAAACATTAGTAACAAACTATTTATTTATTTTTTTGCGTTTTTGTCATCGTGGGAGAACACACCGGTAACAGGTTTGAAGATTTTGTTAATTTTAATTGTAAGTTAAGCTAAATTAATTCTAAGTTTCTTCTTTTTTACAATCTTCTATAATAGATTCAATTTGACAAATTTCAATTTAAATATTCTCTCTGTGACTTCTGTAAGTGCATAAAACTTTACATTTAATTAATGAATTGATGAGAATAAAATTCTTCCATGATTAAAATATAGTTGCCTGCTACCATGGATCAAGGTTTGAGCTCACCCCACACACCATTATTTATCACGGCAGTTTAGATCAAAGAACTGTTTTTCTTTTTTCTCATCCATGCTGGCACATTCCATTGTGAATCAGTCCTTTTATAACAGGTATAATTGTGATCTCCCCCATACAATATTAAAATAATATTCAAATGTTGTTATTCCATTCAGAATCTTAGTAATCTGCTGCAATTTTTCAACCTTTCTGTATATTAAATGCTTTTTTATAATTCAGTTGAAATTTAACATTGTTAATAATTTAATGCGTGGTATTGGAATCAGTTTTAATTAAAAATTTTTATACATAAATGATTTTCAGGATGGAAAATTGTTGTTGACATCGTCGGCTTGGAGGCGTCCTCTGTCTGCCCTGTGGACTTTTACCGATACCTTTGAAATGAAGTAAATTTAATATTTCAATTTAACATTTAAATAAATTATAGCTTTTAAATAATCTTTATTGCTATTTATGGTAGGCACTCTTTTGAGGAGGATTATTATATGGAATTTAGCAAATTATCACAAGAAAGAATTGTAGGAACGAAATATGAAACTGCTCATGTAAGTATCAATATTATGTTTTAATACAATGCATTTTTGCTAATTTGAATTTCCACTTAGTTCAAACTTATTTTTTCCTCTTTTTTTTTCTGCTACATGTTCCAGTTAAAAACAAAAATAATAAATAAATTATTTTTAAAAAACATAAAATAATTATGTGTTTGGTACTTATATTAAATATAAGTACCAAATATAATACAGTAGATTTCAATAACATAAAATGGAAGGGACAGAGAAAGTGTTTAACTTAACCTGTCCCATGTTGTTCTCTAGTATTTTCGTGTTGACCTCATTTGACCTGACCTGTCAACCCCAAATATACTTGTTTCTGCATCGGAATGTTTTTGATACTAGATGTTGCTGTAAGGATTTGGACTCTTTTTGGAGTTTTAAAAGCTTAAACTATTATAAAGTTTTATCATTATTTCCCTTCTTCCTCCAGTTTCCTCTTCCTGGGGGTTAGGTGTAGACCTTTTGACCTATCAGACATATTGTGTCACTTCGAAAAGGTGAACTTCTAGACTTTCAAAGACGTTTAGGATGACCGAGGAAGTTCTCCCCTCATAACGGGATTATTCATTTCCACCTGCGTTACAATGTACAAATTAGTAGCCAATTAACAAGAATCTCCACCTGTTACATGATAGAGAATAACAAAAAGGTCAACTGCAAGGGTAGCCCTATCTGATCAAATGACTCACAATTACACAATCATCACCCTGGTAGCCCCGCAGATGTTCTGAACTTAGCCACCTGTGGCAATTAATTCAGTAAGTTTGACAACTAGTTCAATAAATTTATGGAGAGAAAGTGTCACGATAACGGGTAGAAAATGTAATAAATCAAAAGTACAGTTCGATTCCTGACAAGTAAAGTAAACAACTCTTGATGCAGGCGATTGCATCAGATTTTTCCCCAATAATTTCCCCTCCAGGACATGTATAAAAAGGGGTCTCGCACCTCAGGGCGGACAGCCGGGCAGATACCCACAGCGGACGTCCACAGCTGAGAGTATCACCAGTGGACATCAGGGGACACCAGACCCATACCGCCATTCCGTCCGTCACAACCCTTGCCTTCCCGCCATAATCACCAACCTGATTAAAAGGAGAGGACTGCCGATCCTGGTGCGTCACACCAACATCCCATACAATGAGATTGGGAACTTGAGAGGTAATCACATAGCCAAATTTTGATACTCTCTCTCTTTTGTTCCTCGTCGCTCTCTCGATCATAGTTTGAGCTTAGACAATATTATGTCTTTAGAGTTAGATAATAATTCGACTTATCAGCCGAATTATTCCCTTTTGTAGCCTTTTTGATTTGTATTCGTTTGTATTGTTTTAGAGAATTAAATATGTTATTCTTATATTTAATTATGTATCATCCTTGAGTACAGCTGGTACCTTGTCATGATCTCACTATCCTTCCCACTCAATTAACCTAAGCCATCTCTGACAGGGCCGCCAGTAAGTGGGGAGAAACTCAGCGCTCTACCCCCTTGGTTCTCACATTGCTATGCATCATAATTTTTATATTAAAATGAACTTTCAAAAACAGTTTAACCCAATTATAACGTCATCCATGGGACCGGCACTTTTTTTGACATGAGTGTCATTATCTGTGGGGGTCATAATTTCAGTCTCATAAAAAGTACCAAGTGTTTAAGAATCTATTATAAAATCAGTTCTAATTTAACATCATATTATTACCATAAAATTATTTCTTAATGGTAATACAGTATACTGTATCTAGTATGGTAATAATAATTTATTATCGTATGTATAAAAGTGCAAACTAAATGTTTAAATCAACATTGAACAGAAACGTACGCGGCAAAATAATTAATCAATTAACAAACACCTTATTTGTTGCCAAGGGAGTTTATTAAAAACTAATGTTTTCGATCTACTCCATAGATCATCCTCAGGTTGAAACATTCGAATTTGGAATAACAAAAAATAGAACACCAAATTCAAATTCAAAGAGATAAATACGACAACGTAGCAACTAATTAAAATAAAAATTAAAGCGTAAAAATACATAAATGTAAAAATAAATAACATACAACTATTAAATATTATTATAAGCCACTATCTGTTAACCAATAAAAATCATTAAGGTTCCCATAACGCGATTGCAGATATGGCTCAGCATGGAAGTACACCATTTCTTAATGGCGTACTTCCATGCTGAGGGTAGGCCCTCTGCATCTCTGGCGTTAATGCATTTTTCATCTAGCTTGCTCCTATATATTTCCATTTTTTCGGCAGTTTTCGCTAAAGTTGGGGAGTGCACTTGTCTGATGATTTCTGCATCCTCCCACCTAACTGCAGATACTTGGGCCTGAGCCATCTGGGCCAGAACCGTTGCGTTAGATCTTTTTCTAATATCATATTTATGCTCTCTGACCCTTACTTCTATGTTTCTCGTTGTAACTCCTATGTAACCTGTACTGTTAGTAAATCTACAGGTACCTATGCAACTATTGAATAAAAATGTCATTATTTAATTAAACATATTTCTTGCTATAGCTAAGCAGTATTTGTGTTGAATATTTTAGTTGTAAATGATTTTTTTTAACTCTTCTTTTTCCTTGATAAATAAAAGTGCACATTCTATTTTTACTTTTTTTTTTTTTCAACCAGAATACAGTAAAAATTTTTGGGGCCAAGTGCAAAATGGGTGATGACTTAAATTCACAAAGTACCTTTTCATAAATATCATGGGCCAAAAATAGAGTGCAGTTATTTATGCCATAAAATATGGCAATGCATTTTAATATATACATCATGTTGCTATTATTTATTAAATTTTTAGTAATAATGTCATATTTTCATATATTTGATAATTTAAATATTTTATTTTAGTGATTCAATTTATTTTGATACACCTCTGATTTCTTCAGATTGTTTAACTAGTCTGTANAAGTGGATGATGAAATTATTTGCCAAGTGTCAATAAATTCACCAAGTTGTGACATTGAATTAGAAGAAATAAAAAGCATTCTTGTCATCACCCAGTTAACTTACTCTCTAGATCTTGCTTCCAGTGCTTTTGGCTGTTCCTTAATTAATTAACTCTCAAAATGGGCCACAAAGGGATGTGTTTTTCGCAAGCATGGAGGACATATCGAATATGACTGCTCAACTCCAGAAGATTCCAAAGGAAGCATTCCAAGCCTGCTTTCATGCTTGATCAATGGACAAGTATGTCTGTGCGGGAGAGGCCTGCTTTGAAGGTGATTACATCTGCATTGCTATATCTCATGCCAATATAGTGCAAGATGTCAATTCCGGAAACTTTTTGACTTCCCCTTGTATTAAATTTAAGATTATAATTGCAAAGGCTGGAACAGTAAAGGTATAACATTGCCAGGTTTAATTGGGAAACAAATACTAAGAAATTTCTGTGGTTATGTTAGGTTCTGTTCCTTACCATTCAGGGAATGATCAAAGTCATGATGGACACAAAGAAAAGACTCTGTTATTGTGACATTGTCATGATGCCAGTCTGCAATTTTTAATATTTTTAATTAATATAATTTTTTTAAACTGCCCTGTGGATGCAAAGATGGTAATTTATTTAATTTAAAATACCTCAAATTAATAGTGTCTTGCCCCTGTGCATCACACTTTTCCTGTTAGCAATTGAATTGTCTGGTCATCTATCTAACTCTTTTCAGGAGAAAATTTTTGAATTGAAATAACATGACTTTCGGTTTGCACTGGAAGTTCATATGTAGTTAATTAGGGCCCCTACCCTTAAGCTTTTCATGTCTGGTCTCAGCTTTCATCTATTTAACTTCATTCTCGAGATTAAGGAAGGACAGGCATACAACAATGGGAATTTATAGGTCTACAATTTTTTCAAATTGCAATCTAATGATTACAAGACAGAACAAATTAAACAAAATAATAATAATAATAATCTGGTTGAGATAGCAGCTTAACCTATGTCTACTGCCTACCTTATTATTTAGTATTTAATTAATTACATAATCATATTATAACCTGATAATTCAGCAGTTTGTTTGACTTTAACTTTAAATTGGGTTTTTGAATTGTTCATATATTAAACAAATTCTTGTTATAGTATCATTGTCATAAATTGCTTTTATTATTCTTAGTCTCTTTAGATTTATATAATAAAATTCTATTTAATGTTATTTTTTCTTTAACACATTAAATATGACATATCAACTGATAAATTATGAACTAAACTATTTAATAAATTTTACATAAATTAGAACCAAACTGCCAGAGACAGTCTTACAAGTACAGAAAGCATCTGTCGTCTTTATGAAGTGGGACGTTGTAGGGAAGAAGACGACGAGGTTTGCGAAACTTTTGATAAATGTAATTAATTATCACTATTTGAATCAAATTACTTATAATTTTCTAATCATATTAGGATGCCGAAGAAGACGACGAAGAAGAATCGGACGATTTAGACGACGACGACAGCGAAGACGACGATGCAGATGCGGACGACGCAGACGACGACGTGGAGGATAACGATGGTAGCTTGATATTTTAAAATGAAATTTTAAATATTTAAGGACATTATTTATTTCAAAATAAATAAATTTTTCAGCAGAACCAGAAAATCTAGAGAACGATAACGAAGATGGTGTCGAGGACATGCTCACTTCAACCGAAGAAGAATCGGATGACGATAATGTTCTATTTGCACTAAATACAATTTAAACATTATTTATAAATGTATAGACAATTTAGTTGTCCTATGGACAACTTAAAAGTATTTTATTTGTTATTGTTGGATGTATATAATGTTAAAAATTTCATACATTTTTAAACTTTGTATATACTTTGTATGTACAGTAATTTGAAAAATAAATCCAGTATTGAATTTCTTAAAAACTAATAAGATTTCTCTTAGTGTGAACATAACACAAATTGTACATTTTTTATTTGCAGAAAGTTCAAAATGTTATCTCTGGAGTCTGTACATTCAAAGTGTTTTTTGCAGCATGTAGCAATTACAGCCAGTTCACAGCATTTTCCAGTCTACCCTTTATGTAAACTTTATCTGATCTTCTATATATCAGGTCAGTCCATAAGTTCCTGCGTATTTTTTGACCTTGAGAAAAATCTTGTTTTGCTGTTAAAAATTCCAGTCTAATGTGATACTTTTTACACTGAAGTGTTAAATTGGATCTCATTCATATAATATGTTCAGAATTGGGAACATTTCAGTTGTTTATTTTCGTTAAAATGGAAGTAACAGATGAATATAAGAGACATGTTTTATACTTTTTATTTTTAAGTGATGAGAATGCTACAAATGCAGCCAAAAAATTAAATACTGTTCATAATCAAACTGTAAT